CTCCATTTCCATTTCCATGTGTATGAGGTAATGTTTACCCTTCCCTACACCCACCACAAACCTCCCTGTCCTTCTCCATCAAGACCTCCGGATACCAGGTACCAACTTGATGCTAAGACATCCAGTAAACACGGAGGAGGTAGAGCAGTAGGTTGTTTCCTAAGGCAACTGTATGGCCATTTAGAATAAAGAAATCCTCTTGAAATTTTACTCTTAGGTAAAATTGCAACAGTAGATATTTAATGGTGTTTTATCTTGATGTATTTGTTGTTGAGAGTATTTTGCAGGACTAACCAGTGTGGTTGCCCTCCATGGTAATCTGTGATTTTACTGCTTGCCATGTCAGAAAATAATCATTTCTTGTCCAAACAGACCGTCAGGGTTTTTGACACCATTGGATTTTGTCTTTGTTCAGCAATGTCTGACACACACAGCATTCTGCAGCCATTGCATTCTTCACAGAATCCTTTAATCCACAGCTAGGATGAGAATGTAATCAAGTGAATTCCTGCTCTGATATCATGTACACACAACATTCTGAACCTCCCTCACATTCTTAATGAATTATGCAGTTGTTTCTCAGAATATAGTGAAGGAATAACGCCTGGTTTTAAATTAAATGACCATATTATAATAAGCATATATTTAAGATGTGCATATGATTGAAATACACAAAGTACTTTCTTGTTTGTTTTAATGCATTTGATGGCTTAATCAGAGAAAAATGAGTCATGTTGTAAGAGATGTCAGCCCACTCAGTGGGTCAACTTATTTGGCTAACACATGAAATGCTGAACCATATTAAGTATATAAAATCCAAAAGTTTGAAATGAAAATCCTGTTACTTATATAACAGCAGCTCCCACATATTCTCCCCTGCAGCACCTTATGACTCTGAGACTGTTTTCACCAATAGGGCTTGAACAATATTTTCATCAACCCTCTCATTTCCCTTTGATTTTAGAGGTAGCTAATAATTTACAGTAGGACTGTGTTTGTTTGACAGGAACAAAGAAAGACGCTGATCCAGAATGATGTTCTACTCGGCCTCCAACATTATTATGGATGTTAGTCTGTCAATGATGTTCCATTTGTTCCATCCACCAGAACACCTCTGGGTCTATGGGATTTTATTTTATGTTTATTAAGTACTGTTTGTATTTTATAAGAAAAGAGCACCAAAAAAAAACTTACAGAATTTACCATGACAACCAGTTTCCACCAGAATACTGTATCTTAATGAGTGTTAATGCTGTAAATCAAAATAAATATAATCTCCTTCAGACAAAGTAGTAAACTTATGGAGTCTGCTTAATTAAATTTTTAGTGTCAAACCAAGTTGCCACAATGTCATTGTGATACAGCTATGTTTACCAAGGGAACTTAGTGCATAAAAATATAACAATCCAACCGTTGTTCGGCATTTGAAGAGCATTTTGGACCATATTTCGATATAGGCCTAAATTCTGTAGGGGAGAGTGGGGTAAGATGAGCCACTTTTTACTTATGTGGTCCTCAAGATAAGGGAAAATTATGCAGAAGTACAATCAAAGTATCTAAAGTAACTTAAGGATGTTTCCTATCATTTTATATTATCAGAATGTATCTATGACAAAGGGTTCTAAAAATATGGCTTCTTAGAGATTTGATAATAAAACTAAGCAGTCAAACATCATCTTTCTAAGACATTATTGGGAGGCAAAGAGTGACATATGCATTTTGTAAGTAGTCTGCTGTTCTGTTACAAAGATCTCATTGCTTTACTTTACAAACTATCGTTGTTTCATCTTATTTTTTCATCTTATTTTTGGCTATAAAAATATCAGCAGCTGCACCTAATTGTATATTTTGCTCCGTTATGGCCTCTGAATAAAATTAAAAAAATAACATTTTCTTTTTCCTTATGAGCTCCATATCACTAGCCATAAAAGCCTGATGTATCAAATATGGTACTCCAGACTGACTTTTTTTTGTTACATAAAAACATAGATTAGTGTAAATTGAATAATAATATAAAAAGACTGATTACCCCTTGGTTAACTGTAGACAGTGTCTTAACATAGAGGCTAGGTTTATGCAACTGGCCCCTGGGCTTCCTCTATTGACCTCTATCTATCATGGTCTGTTAATAATCCCCACTTAACTGGCAACATCAGTCTACTCTAACCCAACCTTCACTGATAGCTGCTGTGTTTGTGGGTCCTAAAGAACTCTATATAATTGTAAAGAATTACTATTTGTTCCAAGCCGCCTGTTTAACTTCCGTGGTATTTTAATATTCACACTGCTCTTTTCCATTCAATGAATGTGAATGGAGATGGATGCTGTCAAGCTCAAAAATAAATTCTTAATTTGTGACCACAATATCTATTCGTCCTTCTGCATGTCACGTGCGTGGCTCCACACATTTGGCTCTTGCACTATTTTGCACTTATATTCTCGAGCCATGTGATGGCCAGTATATATATATATATATACGCAAATGAGAACTGAATATAGCGCACAAGTCATATGAGCTCCTTTTATGATGCTTTCTGTCATTTTTGGAGGTTTACAGCATCTGTTCACTGCTGATTTTCCAGTCTCTGCTTAACTTCTCGTTTTGTTTTAACTGGGAAAAAAAGCAAATCACACAGGTTTGAATGACATGAGGTAGAGTACATTTTATTGGATTTTAAGTAGCCAGCACAGCTGCCAGTTTAGGGTGTTTGTTTAAGCGCATACAGCATTATATCTTCTAGCAGACATGCATGAATTAATAAAACATTGTGTTGCGTTATAAAAGCTCCATTTTCTTTCACCTAACAGTGTTTGGCTTTGGATCAATGTGTGCAAGTGGAAAGACATGGTAATCCAAACACACGGAAATGAAACCATGTATAATATATAAACTATATATCTATAGTCCATCAAGACTAATGGAATATTGACTGTGCGGCACCTGTGCGCTTCTCTCTGGAGAGCTGCTTTGCTTTCCTGATCAGAACATAATGCGTTCAGAATAATTGAGTTATCAGCGCGCACCCATCACATTCAAACCAGAAGTGCTAATAGCAGCCGTTATTGTTATATTCCATATGTTTGAGTGTGTGAATGAAGCACTCAGAAGGCCGAAGAACAGCCTTGATTACGCCAAACAGCATCAAAACTATAATTAAACACTCATAATCATTTAGAAAGTTCAAGAGGCAGAGTTAGCCAATGTGGACATCCACTTGAGGGAAAACAAATCAAGTATTTGGAATCATTTGCGAATCGGCGCTTGGAAATATCAATTGCTGATGCAGTAGCGCTCTGCTCCAAAACCAAGTGAGCTGCCTACTTAGACAGCATTTTAGGGCCTCATAGGCACGCTCTCAAGTCAAGAATTATTCTGTCTTCTACCTCATTTGGGCTGAGATCTGAGGTAGCATTGTATTCTATGTAGAGCAAGCAATGGCAAAATGCAACAAGAATAAATTTATCCAATGTGGATGAAATGTCAATAATTATGATGTTTTGTAAAATAGTAAGTTTTTAATGGATTTCATTGCTAATTTCTATTATTAAATGAAGAAACTTTATATAAATAACTAATGTAAATGTAAAACTAGGGGTTGAACGACTTCTGATTTTTTTTTTAAAGTAGACTTTTATGTGATTGAAGTCGACTAGTCACTGATGACGAACAAATAAAACAAATAAGTCTGGAGCTGTGATAAACACCTTGTGCTCAGCTATGGCATATGACACAGCATGGCTATTGTGGCTATTGCTCCTATAACAGCTCGTTTTTATCAGTTCTTTTGTCTTTGGGTCGTTATATTTCTCATAGATTTCTGCTCGTTCTAAATCAGATACAGATAGAGTAGCTCAGTAAAGATGACATTAATATGAATGCATTAGTGAGAGCGATTGCGTGTGTGAATTAATTCTACCTGGCAGCGTCTCTCTACTAGTAGTGAAGCTGTGGAATTTAGTTATTAAGAAATATATGCTTGAACTTTTCAGTTTCTAAGCTATTTTATTGAGAAATCACAGAACAGTGTTGACAATACTGTACAATAAGCTGTTTAAAACGTGCATTCTCCCGTTCAATTTCGAGCATCCAGTAATATAATCACACGTCTTGTGGAGCGCTTTTAGAGTATGCATTTATTTGTCATTTGAACTGTTTGTAAACCGAGCGTAAATGTGGAAGTCCTTCAAAGATTTCTTATCCTGTTGCGCCCTCTATAGGACCAGCGACTAGTCGACGTCAAGCTTAAAGCGTCATGGCAGAGCATTGAAGTCGACCAGTCTATTAGTCGGTGCAACCCCTAATATATGATCAACTAAATCAGTTGTGTACTATCACATTAAACTACCAGTTTATACATCAGAGATTTAACTTAACTACAGTGCCTTATGGTAGAGTAAGATAAAATGCTGGCTCAATTTACCCCACAACATTTGGCTCACTTTGCCCCATAGCTGCCATTTTGGGAAAAAAAACATATACTTATACATTGCTAAATCTCTTTTATGCATCATAAATATTTTTAGACCTGGATAAATTTACTTTGATGTAACAGACATTACATAGCCTATGTTATGCTAAAACAATTTTTTAAAGTTTTTTTAAGTAATTGGTGCCTTCCACTCCTCCCGTGTGTTTCTTCTTTTCAGTCTGGCAGAAATTATGGGTGGTTTCAACATATATGGTCACATGACAAAAAAAGTGTACAGTTGGCAAGATACAGGGGGTGGGTCAACTTACCCACTGGCTCATCTTACCCCACTCTCCCCTAGGCCTATTTAATGACTACCCTCCTTTTTATCTTGACAAATATTACACTTTTGAACTAAAAATGAATCATTAAATCAGTCACATTTTCACCAATCTTCAAAATCAGTGTCTGAAAGTAGTAAAGTGTATGACTGAAAACAGCTTATAAATCATCGCGTCTCATCTGCTCTGTCTTGAGCACCCGACAGGCGGGAGCACCGAGCTCCGGAGAAAACCGTTAACACGCGGGGAGGGGGTGCGCGCGCAGAGAGCCTGTGTAGTCACCTACACTTCACTGGTTCACGCTCATCAGCCGTGTTTTTATCGCGGGGCATCTGACTGACCGGCCGACCGAGAGGCGCACCATGAACCTGCAGGAGCCGCTCGCCGCGGGGGGACCATGCTCATCATGAGTCGCTCGCCGGGCAGCAGGACTTGAGACCTGCGGTTTATCTGAAATCGCCGAAATTGTCCCTCATAGCACAACCCAGAATTTCCTCCACTTCTGTCACCTGGAATTGCTTAAACACTAGAACTAATCATGCTGTGGAAAACGGGACTGATTTTTCTGTGCTGGGGCTTGACGTCCGGGGAACTCCAGGACAGGCAGTCCGGTGCTGCTCCAGCGCAGAGAATTTTGGATTTCGGCTTCGACCCCTCCGGAGTTTACGATACCGTCGCCTATTACGAGCCTGGGGCCATTGGAATTTTATTTAACATGATGCACGCTTTCCTTTATGTGGTTCAGCCAAACCCGTTTCCTGAAGGTGAGCTCAGTCTTATGTTCTTGAACTTCTAAGCAAATGTCATATTTCTCTACGCTTGATTATTAATTTGAATCAGATTATTTTATGTTCCCCAATGCTTGCCATTTCTTCAACTGCATCTACCATATCATGAGCAGGTAGATGCTTCAGGTGTGAGAGGTGTGATGTCTCCATGGTGGGTTAGAAGGTGTGAGGGGTAAAATATGGTTGGTTGTTGTATTCTCCACCTCTGCCTTGTTTTATCATTATTTGGTAAATCTTGAGATTAAGATTGTAACCCTGTGAGTCACTGTCCTAATGAGCTAAAACACTAATCTGGAATGCCATATGTTGCTGTTCTTTTATTTTCCAGCCTGCCACAGGTGGATATAACCTGGTTCCTGGGGGAATCCCAACCGTACACACCCATTTCAGATCGTGGAGAACTTCACTAAAGAGCTGATGAGTTGCATCAGGTGTTTGATTAGGTAGACATACAAAAATGTGTTCTATTGGTGGTCCTCCAGGATCAAGGTTGGGAACAGCTTTCTGTTATAAAATAGTAGCCACCAAGCACATATAGATGTTGCTGTTGTGCTTGTCATCCCATACATTTTGTTTTGTATGTGCTCTTCTGTTTCCAGTGGTTATAAATCCTTCGTTTTTCTGCAGCATGCTCGTTTCTCATTTAGTGATGATCCCCCTCTAGCAGTAGGTCTAAATCATCCGTGCATCTGTCTTATGAACGCATAAGGCACTGGCGGCATTTTGTTTTCTTTTCTCCCCTTTTCCTTTTTTTTCCCTTCATTCTCAAATAAAAATAGCAACGGCTGTAGCCTTTTGGCAAATTAATTAGAATGATAAAAGCTCTCTGACAGGCCTCCAGTATGATAATTCAGCCCACTGCGTTTGATTTGCAAGAAAGAGACAGCCATACAGCTGCAACAGTCTCACCATAACTCTGATTCTGCTTGATTTGTTCTCTGGAACTACATATGTTTGTGCCAGGCTTGGAAGTCATTTCATAGCGTGGATTTTTCAAGGCGTATTCGTGAACTGATTTAAGAAGCTGGTCAGACATGCTCAAATCCTTTGATCTTTAAATCTGAATGGACTTTGACAAGTGAAAGTAAGGACACTGGTGTGTGATGGTAACCCCGTCTTTAGACCTACGAAACTACTCGTAAGATCAAAGCATGCTGGGGGACGATGGTTCGGTAATAGCCTATTAATTGCTCAGTTTGAAGGTCTCTAGTTTCACAGTTATATTGCCAGGAAATATATTAGAAAGTACTTAGGAGCTCTTTGATCTCAGACATTGACCTGGCTGTCCTGACTGCCACCTTCGGGTCTCTTTATGTTCTCTGAGCCTCAGGCTGTATCTCATTTTGCCCATCAAAGCAATTTTTTTTTTTTTTTGGAGAAGCATATGATTTCTGCAGCACTGGCATCACCAAACAAATGTAAAATAATTAGTTTTTTTCTGTACAGATCTCAAATATTCCCTCATCTGCCACTGGTTGCACAAACAGATATTCCTGACCAAACTCGCACCATTGGTTGAGTCAATATTGTTGTGTCAGGATGCTCAAAATCCAGAGTAATGTTTTATAACCAATGAATGGATTACTTTTAGTTGTATTTACATAATAAGTAGGGACATTATGAAGTATTTTTATAACATGCACTACCATTCAAAGTTTTGAGTCAGTAAGATTTTATTTATTTTTTATTTGAATAAAATAAATTAATACTTTTATTCAGCAAGGATGCATTAATTTGATCAAAAGTAATAGTAAAGACATTTATAATGTTACAATCTATTTTAATTTAAATCCATTTTGAACTTTTATTTTTAACTTTTTATTTAAAGAATCTTGAAAAAATCTAATTTTCTACAAAAAATATTAACCAGTACAACTTTTATTGATAATAATAAGAAATATTTCTTGAGCACCAAATCAGCAATGATTTCTGAAGGAGAGACACTGAAGTAAGGGCTGCTGAAAATTCAGCTTTGCCATCACAGGAATAAATTACATTTTAAAATATATTTAAGTAGAAAACAGTCATTTTAAATTGTAATGATGCTTAACAATATAACAGTGTTTCAGTATTTTTAATGAAATAAACATAGCCTTGGTGAGTGAAGAGACTTATTTTAAAAACATTAAAAATCTTGCCGACCCCAAACTTTTGGAGTGCAATAGTGTTTAAATAATCAGTTATGCAATTGTAATGTGAACACCCTCACAGTCCATAACAGGTTATATGACAGAACCCAAAACTAGCAATCCAGGTAATGAACTGACTCAGTCCATCTCAGGACGGCATATGCAGTGGAAGCAGTTGCCAGGGTAACATAACTATATCCTAGTGCGTGTTTGAGTTTCTCCCATTGGCCTACATATGTCTGAATGCTGTAGTGCAGTGGTCACCAACGTGGTGACCACCTGGTAGCCCGCATGGAGTCTCGGAGTCGCCCGCCAAGCACGTTCTATAAATAGCCTAAATTAGCGTCGGCCGTTAAATGAAATCATATTGAGATTATGATAAAAATGTATGTCAATAATGATGATAAACTCTGGACATTTTTACTCAAAATGGATTCATCTAACATCCTATCACACAACAGAAATAAATGTTACAGCAACCAGTCAGTGCATGTCGCTAATAAGTTTGCATGTTCTGTGTGTCTGTGTGAATGCGTGGAGTAACGTTAGTTTAGTTTCATCTGATACACAAACTCAAACACACGTGACTCGCGGTGTTTTCAGCGTCTGCGTCTTAATATATGAGGACATGAACACATGCACTTCATCTTCAGAGCTGCTCTGAGAGTCACTTCACCAGCTTTATGCAGTTTCATTTGAGAAAAAATACCGTCAAATACACGCTGAAACTAAAACTAACTGAAAGACCTTCACGACAAGCCGTCAAAATAAAAGTCCGGTTTAACGTGAAATTATGACCGAATATTACTACTGTATACTACAATGCAATTCTCAAAGTAATAATAATAATATTATTTTTAAGGAATATCATACAACCAAGTTATTTTTTATTATTATTAATTTATACATTTCTGTTGTGCAGCATCATGTCTGATCAAATAAAATAAAAATGCAATGTTTTGTTTTGTTGTAAATTGGTTTTCATTTGATTACATTTTAAAAGATTGATTAAATTGTTAAAGTTTTATTAATTCATTTCACTAGACACCATTTTTTATGATAATCTGTACTGAATTTAGGGAAAAATAAAATGCATTTTTGCATAAAATGCAAGATATATAAAAAAAATTATATATATATATTGGAGTATATCAAACAAGTAGCCCTTGAGACTATTTTATCCCTTCAGGGAGCCCTCACTCACAAAAAGGTTGGAGACCCCTGCTGTAGTGTTATATGAGGTGTGCATATATCCAATGCTTTCTGGGAGAAGTGCAGTGCTTCAGTAGATCTGAACAGATACTTGTTTAAGCACAGTACAACCAAGACTATTATACAGTAGATTTTGCCAGGAAGTAGGTGAAAGTTGCTTTTACAGAGATTTTGGTTTTGTGTCATTTAATATAGTGTAAGTGCAATTTTATACATGCAAATTTTAACACCTTAAAGGGGTGGTTGATTGCGATTTCACTTTTTTAATGTTAGTTAGTGTGTAATGTTGCTGTTTGATCATAAACAATATCTGCAAAGTTACGAAGCTGAAAGTTCAATGCAAACGGAGATATCGTCTTTTAAAATTCTGGCAGTTTAATGCCTACAAAACCGACTGGTAAGGGACTACAACGAGTTACTTCCCAGGTCCGTTACCTCAAGAACCCAGAATTTTACATAAACCCCGCCTCCGGGAACACGCAGCAAAGGGGACGAGGCCATGCTGCGCTGCTTTAAAGAAGAGGAAGAGAGAACTACAGGTGCACGTAAAAATCTATTCATACATGAATCGCGATTCTGTCTTCTAACGATTCTAATGGATTCACAAGTTTCAAAATCAGTGTTCTAAAGCAGCGGTTTTCATCCTGTTCCTCGCGTCGCCCTGCTTCACACACCTGCGTCTCAATCGGGCTCAAATTGATAAGCAATATAGACGACGTCATTATTTACAATACAACCGGAGCACTTGCCACTATGTTGAGGGGCGGGACGTTTAGACGCACACTAGAGGTGGTTTAGCCAATCACAACATACTGGGCCAGCTAATCAATCAGAGCCCATGGTGTATTTCTGAGGGAGGGGCTTCATAAAAGCAGGAAATGATCAGTGCGTTCAGAGGAGAAGGGACAGAGAGGTGTGGAATAAAGGTAAATTATGTGAAAAAAAATAATGCGTTTTTTAACAAACGAAGCATTAACACATGTTAGACTGCACCCCATAAACACAATCAAGCCTTTAAAAAAAACAGTCAACCACCCCTTTAAGTCTGATGTCCATGTCTGCCACATAGAATGGGTTCAGATCCGTGCCAGCAGGGCTGCTGAAGGATGAAGCACCACTGTTGATTGCAGATGGCATCCTGTGTGGCATATCTGTAGGCCGCCCCTTTGCTCCTCTACCTCTCTAGAGGTAGCTTGCACTTTTTCCTCTCTCTGTTGCTCCCTTTCTCCTTACCCTATTTATTTCACTCTGCTTGACCTCCATTCTTTCTCCTCCTTGATTCAACTGAACAAGCCCTGCCTTACATATTCGTGTCTGAAACTCCTCAAAGGAGTCATATTTAAAAGCTGTTGCTGTTATTTTTAGAGGGGTCATTAAAAAAGCAATGAACATAATTTATTCAATTCTGATGAACAACTTGCGACTTGGACATAAATCTAAATACATGTAATATTTAATTTAATTATAATAGAATAAAATAGAATAGAATAGAGGAAGTCAAAATAAGAATTTGTAATTAATCATATCCTTACATTAAAAATGCAGTGTACAGTAGCGGTATTCCAGACTATGATTGTTATTTTATAAGCAGCTGTGAAATATTTCCCACATATTTGAATGCAGTGAGTATTACTG